TGTGTGTGTGTGTGTGTGTGTGTGTGTGTGTCTGTTTGGGATGGGAGAGATCTCTAGCTCTTAGGGTCATTGCCGGTGATAGGCTAACCCTATTCCCCACTCTATTTCTGCTAACATAATTACTGTTTCCTTTGTATGATTTTTTTTTTAAACTTCAGCCCAATTTCAGGCCTCCTTGTTTAAAACAAAACAAAACAGGGCTTGCTTTGGCAGCACAGATACTAAAATTGGAACAATGCTGAGAAGATTAGCATGGCCCCTGAGCAAGGGTGACATGAAAATTTGTGAAGCATTCCATATTTTTAAAATACAAAAAGTAATAAAACAAAGGTTTCAAAACTTAGCATTTCTGTGGCATCTTCCCTGAATCAATGTAAACAGTCATGGTGATGGGTGCTGTCTGATGGCGAAGCTCTCCTGGACGTGGTGACTGTTCTGTAGGTGTCTTTGGGACATCTTTTTCTTTTTCTTTTTTTTTAGACGGCAGAGGCACCCCTGCACCACTCTGTCACCCAGGCTGGAGTGCAGTGGCGCCATCTCAGCTCACTGCAGCCTCTGCCTCCTGGGTTCAAGTGATTCTCCTCCCTCAGCCTCCAGAGTAGCCGGGACGACAACAGCGTGCCACGATGCCCAGCAAATTTTTGTATTTTTAGTAGAGACAGGATTTCATCTTATTGGCCAGGCTGGTCTTGAACTCCTGACCTCAAGTGATCTGCCTGCCTTGGCCTCCCAAAGTGTTGGGATTACAGGCATGAGCCACCATGCCTGGCCATCTCTGGGACATCCTTGGGCATCCCACATCTGTCTGCTGCTGTTTGGGCCTGTCATTCTGTGCTCAGTAGATGTGGCAACGTGTCATCCAATAATTGATCCCTTACCAGCTTTTTAGTTTTTTTCTGAGATGGGCTTTTGCTACATCACCCAGGCTGGAGTGAAGTGGTGTGATCACGGCACATAGCAGCCTCAACCTTCCAGGCTCAAGGGATCCTCCTGTCTTAGTCACCCAAGTAGCTGGGACTACAAGCACATACCACCACATCTGGGGACAAAAAAAAATTTTTGTAGATGTAGGGTCTTGCTATGCTGCCCAGGCCAGCCTTGAACTACTGGGCTCAAGCAGTTCTCTTGTCTCAGGCTCCCAAGGTGTTGGGATTATAGGCATGAGCCACTGAGCCCGGCCCCTTACCAGCTTTAAGTTCTTCAGTTACCTCTTGGTCTTTTCCTCTGCAGGCCAAGTAATCTTAATTTCCAGAATTAACTTTTTAACCCAATCATCACAACCTTTGAAATTACTGCACCCCTCACCCTTAATTTTTTAGAGCCTCCATTTTATAACAAGTGGCTAAGCCCTGAGTACATAGAGACTGATGAAGAGATTGCAGCATGGTTTATCTTTGCCTCTCTGCTTAGATTCCTTTTAATAATCATTAAATCTCTCACGTGTCACTTCTATTTGCAGTTTACGGAGCACCACCATATCCCTTATCTCAGGCCATCAGCCCTTCTTAGTGATCTTATTATTTCCACTGATTCAGGTTAAGCTTGGCCTACTGTGGGCTTTATTAGATCATCTTTATTGTACCTGTGGGTAGATTTTGTAAGCAGGCCCTAGCACAGGTTCACTTGTGGGTTTCCTTTTAAAAGGTCAGTGTGAAACCGGAAATGTGACTAAGAAAATCTTCTTCCTCCATGAAGCCTCACTTCATTAACTGGAAGAAAAGCTCCCATCCTCTCTCCCCTCAGACTTACTCATGGTCCAAACAGGCACATTACAAAAGAGCACGTATTTCCCAAAACACTGGCACGTGCGTTCTAAGGCTCATGCGTACGGTGAGTAGTTCTTTGTGAGATTTGCTCTGTCAAGGGGCCCTGTCGTCACAGCAATCACTGTTCTTCAGAGGAAGTGCAGGGGCCTGAGAGACCTGGAAACCTGGTGGCTGAACAATGAAGAGAGTGGGACCCATGGTTGGAACAGCTGGCCGTGCTCATGTGGATAGGGGCAGAGCTAGAACGGGAATGAAGGTCTCCTGAGTCCCCTGCCACATTAACCCAAGTAAACTCCATGTCTTCCTCCTCAGCTTCCGGAGGCCCCCGCATCTTTCTCCTTCTGGGACACAAGCCAGGTTCAGTTGCAGGGTGGACATGTGGTTTCCAAGACAGGATGCCGGGCAAATTAATCTGGGATTCCTGATTGGGGTTCTTTAGAAGGCAGTGGCTCACCCTTTAGATCATCTGGTTTGCGACCTTGTCTCAGTTTTCTCATCTGTAACATAGAAAACTAATCGTACTTATCATGAGGTAAAAATAAATGAATACACATGAAACACTTAGAGCAGTCTTCGTGTGTGATCACTCCATAAGCATCAGTGATTATTATTCTGGTGGGTTGGTTAGCTTTCCTCCATTCTATTCAGTTCAATGAGAGGTTGGCATCAACCACAGGCTTTGCTGGGGCTGTGAAAATGGCCACATTGAGTCTCCACCTTAACCCTGGCCAGTCTCCCAACAGCCAACCATTTGTCTTAAGAAGCGCTGAAAGAAATCATCGAATGGTGCGATGCAAAGTCAGCACTGATGGGGCTGCGGGGTGTCTTTTCGTACAGGACGTGCAGTGGGGAGCCCACCTCTGAGTTGGCCTGTTTCCGGGTTGCATGGGGTGCCCACTCGTCATAGACTCCGCGTGAGTGGCATGGTGGGCCCAGGGTCAGTTCTGGCTTGGCAACGGATTTTGTTACTGAGGGCAGGGGTTGAGGCGCAGGAGCCTGGAGCTCCAGATGCTTGGAGTAAATGCGGAGCAGGAGTGGGATGATGTGAGTGGGAGCTGTGGCTGGGTTCAAGGGTGCTGAGTCCTGGCCTGACTCAACCTTCCAGCTTCTGCTCTCAGTGCCTTTGTCTGCATGCTGGGAAATCCCTGGGTGCCGGGTTAACCCCCAACCCAAAAAGACACGTAGACACTTCTCCTGAGCTTTGAGTTGCTTCATTCTGCCCAGCAGCTTCCTGAAAATGTAGTCTTGCCACACTAGAGGAAGGATAGACCCATAGCTGTGGGGGACCGTGTGTCAGCAGGATTTACTATGGGGTGAGCTGGGGCTGCAGCAGCACATGTGAGAAACTTTGCGGGGCTGATGGTTTTCAAAAAAATTTTTTAAATTAAAAAGTATTTAAAATTTTAATTTTTATTTAAAAATTTTGTGGGTACATAATAGGCTTGTATATTTATGGGACACAGGAGATATTTTGATACATGCATACAATGTGTCGTAATTGCATGAGGGTAAATCACTTTAAGCTTTTTTCCTTTGTGTTACAAACAATCGAATTATACTCTCTTAGTTATTTTTAAATGTACAATTTAATTATTACTGACTATAATCACCTTGTCGTGCTATCAAATACCAGGTCTTATTCATTCTTTTGTTTTTGAGACAGAGTTTTGCTCTTGCCACCCAGGCTGGAGTGCAGTGGCTTGATCTTGGCTCACTGCAACCTCTGCCTCCTAGGTTCGAGCAATTCTCCTGCCTCAGCCTCCCGAATAGCTGAGATTACAGGTGCATGCCACCACACCTGGCTAATTTTTTTGTATTTTAGTAGAGACGGGGTTTCACCACGTTGGCCAGGCTGGTCTCGAATTCCTGACCTCAGGTCATCTGCCTGCCTCGGCCTCCCAAAGTGCTGGGATTACAGGCGTGAGCCACCACACCTGGCCAAGATCTTATTCATTCTTTCTCTTTTTTTTGTAGTCATTAACAAGGTTGAAGTTTTAATAAAACTTATTTTTTTTTTTTTTTTTTTTTGAGACGGAGTTTCGCTCTTGTTACCCAGGCTGGAGTGCAATGGCACGATCTCGGCTCACCGCAACCTCTGCCTCCTGAGTTCAGGCAATTCTCCTGCCTCAGCCTCCTGAGTAGCTGGGACTACAGACACGCGCCACCATGCCCAGCTAATTTTTTTGTAGTTTTAGTAGAGACGGGGTTTCACCATGTTGACCAGGATGGTCTCGATCTCTTGACCTTGTGATCCACCCGCCTCGGCCTCCCAAAGTGCTGGGATTACAGGCGAGAGCCACCGCGCCCGGCTCAAAACTTATTTTTATTGCACATACCATGCATTATGCACCAATCTGTGTTCTTCCAAGGCTACCAGGAACCTTTTGCCTTTGTATCAGTTCATAGTTGTCCTCTTCTCCAGCTGCCTCTGCACCTGTGTCGGGGTCCTCTTTTATCGAGTGAAGCAGATGTGCCCAGGTACAGAGAAATACTTCGTGCTATTGTCCGCCAGGCAGGAACATTTTCTTTTCTCAGCTATTCTTGGTAAATAGATGAGTAGTCCTTACTCGAACTCACTGGGTGTCATATGCCACAGCCCTAACTTGAATGTACCGGCTTGCTGCAAGCGGATGATTTCTTAGAAATTTGCTGTGTTCCTAGATGGGATTAAAATGATCTTTAGATTATTAATGGGTCCCTACCTGGAATCCGTTTGATCTTAAAATAAAATGGCAGTGGAACATATTTTTCATTGATTTCTAGCTGATTTGCAATGAAATTAAATGTTTGAGTATAAAGAACATGTTTTAGGGAGTAAACTTAGAGATGGGGTTGCCAGGTGCTTCCCGTTGATTAGCCTAATGACTTGATTTTCTGGTTTCTCACTTTTTTTGAGTTCCCTCACTTTTCTTCCAGAGTTCATTATGCAGATCTGGAAAACAACAACAAAACAGCAGGAGAAAAGCAGGGGTTAGTTTGGGGGTTCGAAACGGGAAAAAGTAGACATTTCCAGCTCCCAACATCTTATTTCCTGAATATCTTCCGAGCCCGAGAAAATGGCTCTGAGCTGCCTTTGCAGTCTTGAAGCAGCACTTGCATTCCCACCAGCCCCCTGGGCCTCTGGTTGCAGCCTGGGGAGCGTCTCTGCACTCCCAGCCTCCTGGGCATGTGTTGGGGTGAAGATGTTGTGCAGTGAGGGGTGGGAGCTTCACACCCTAATAGAGCCAAGCCGGCCACACTGCCTGTCTTTCCCAATTAGTTCCCCAAAGGGAACAAAGCCTTATTTCTTCCCTCCCTTAGTTCCCAGGCACTGGCTGGGGAAAAACAATCCTTGGCAGCTCAGGGGTTAAAAATAAAACACAGCGAGGGGGAAAACAAGACAGGCAGCTGCAGCGGCTCCTCAGAGCCCACTCCAGGCTAAACAGAGGCCCCAGCAACTCCTTGGAGACTTGAACCCTGGGCGATGGAATTTTCCCTTGCATGAAGGCTATTGTCCTCTGGAAAGGGCCAGGGCCAGAGGAGGGCCTGGGGAGCACTG